GCCTATTTGGGAAGAATTTGAAGAGGCCTTCTTGGCTAACTTTATCCCAGAAGAGGATAGGGAAACTAAGGCTACAGAGTTCAAACAGCTCAAGCAAGGGAATAAAAGTTTGCAAGAGTACTACATGAAATTTATAAGGTTAGCTAAGCATGCTCCTCACATGGTTAAGATAAAAAAAGCAAAGATTCGTAGGTTTGTTGGCGGTTTAGCTTACCACATTAAGGATACGACATCAGCTGCAGTAGTAGGGATGACAACCTTCTCCTATGTTGTGAGATTTGCCAAGCACTTAGAAAAAGATAGACATCAAAGGAGAGAAGAAAAAGAGCATAACAAGAAAGCCCGGACAACGGGCAGGTTTAATGGTACATCCAGCAGAGGTGGAAGGTATTCCTCTAATAAGGAGTCATTAGCACCAGCTCAGTCCAGTCATCAGTTAGGTGGTGGGTCTTCTTTCAGACGTACTTAGAGTTATGGAAATCAGTCTCGCCAGAATCAGAATTTTAGGACATCATCCTCATATAGCCAGAGTCATGTTGAGCAACATTTACACCAACAAGGTCTTTGTGGAACATGTAAGCAGGCACATTCAGGTTAGTGCAAGCTCGAATTTCATGGTTGCTACAATTATGGAGACATTGGTCATATAAAGGCCAACTGCCCAAAGTTGTGACGTAATTTCAGTGGTGGATCAACTCGTCCTTCTAGTTCCTCAGCTATTGTAGTTGCGCCACCTTAGGCTCGTGGTTCTCATAATCAGACCGGGCATAGAGTAGGCAGAGGTGCAGACCGAGTTACTCAGGGAGGGGGACAACCCCGTTTGTTTGCTATACTTGATCGTCAGAGTGCAGAGACATCTGCAGAAGTTATTACATGTATATTTTTAGTCTGCTCACATAATGTTTATGCCATAATGGATCCAGGTTCAATGTGTGACTCCATACTTTGCAATTAACCTCGGACTAGAACCTGAACAACTTAATGAGCCATTCCTAGTATCTACTCCAGTTGGCGAGTCAGTGAAAGTCACTAGAGTCTATAGAGGTTGTATAGTTTCAGTCCAAGGTCGCAACACTAAAGCCGATCTTATAGAGTTAGAAATGGTGGATTTTGATGTGATCATGGGTATGGATTGGTTGTCTTCCTTCTATGCCATGTTAGATTGTCATGCCAAGATAATCAGGTTCCAATTTCCAAATGAAGAAGTCTTATAGTGGAAGGGTAGTTCAGCATTGCTTGTAGGTAAGTTTATTTCTTACCTTAAGGCACAACGAATGATCGGTAAGGGGTGTCTCGCCTATTTGGCTCACATAATTAATCCAGAATCAGAACTACCAGCTCTTCAGTCAGTGCCAGTTGTTAGAGAATTTCCAGAAGTTTTCCCAGATGACCTTCCCGGACTTCCTCCCAAAAGAATCATAGACTTTGGCATTAATCTCATGCCAGGCACTCAACCCATATCTATACCTCATTATAGGATGGCTCCAGTAGAACTTAATGAGTTGAGAGAATAGTTGAAAGACCTTCTTGACAAGGGCTTCATCAGACCGAGTGTTTCACCGTTGGGTGCTCCGGTACTGTTTGTCAAGAAGAAAGATGGGTCTCTCAGAATGTGTGTCGACTATCGGCAGTTGAATAAAGTTACCATTAAGAACAAGTACCCATTACCAAGAATTGATGATTTATTTGATCAACTTCAGGATGCAAAGTACTTTTCAAAAATAAACTTGAGGTCGGGGTACTATCAGTTGAGAATCAGAAAAGATGATATATCTAAAACAGCCTTTAGAACTCGCTACGGGCACCATGAATTTCTAGTGATGTCCTTCGGGTTGACAAATGCTCTAGCTGCATTCATGGACCTCATGAATAGAGTTTTCAAGCCATTCCTAGATACCTTTATTATTGTGTTTATAGATGATATTTTGGTGTACTCTAAGAGCAAGGAAGATCATGCAAAACACCTCAGAATAGCCTTGCAGACCTTGAAGGAGAATGAGCTTTATGCCAAGTTTTCAAAATGTGAGTTCTGGTTGCAGTCAGTGGCATTCTTAGGCCACGTGGTATCTAGTGAAGGAATAAAAGTAAACCCTCAAAAGACAGAAGCAGTCAAGAACTGGCCTAGGCCGACAGCGCCAACTGAAATCAGGAGTTTTTTGGGGGTAGCTGGCTACTATAAAAGGTTTTTAGAGGGTTTTTCCTCACTTGCAGCTCCATTAACTAAGTTGACTTAGAAAGCAGTTAAGTTCTAGCGGTCAGACGCTTGTGAGCAGAGTTTTCAAGAGTTAAAGAAGAGGTTGACCACTGCACATGTGTTAACCTTGCCGACAGGTTCGGGTGGGTTCACAGTGTATTGTGATGCCTCCAGAGTGGGCCTTGGTTGTGTTCTTATGCAAAATGGAAAAGTTATTGCTTATGCTTCCAGACAGTTAAAGAATCATGAAAAGAACTACCCCACACATGACTTGGAGCTTGCATCAATGGTGTTTGCATTAAAAATATGGTGACACTACCTTTATGGCGAGCATTCTGACGTGTTTATAGATCATAAAAGTCTCCAGTACATTTTCAAGCAAAAAGAACTAAATTTGAGACAGAGAAGGGGGCCTGCGCATATGGTAGTAAATGCACTTAGTAGGAAGTCAGTGGGTGTCTTGGCCCATATTGCAGTACAAAGGCGATCTTTGGGTTGAGAAATTCAAAAACTAGCAAATGATGGAATTAGATTGGATGAGACCGAAGAAGGAGATATAGCTGCTTATGCCTTAGCGCAATCCTCCCTTGTTGCGCATGTTAAGGCTAAGCAAGACGAAGATCCGTACTTAGTGAAATTAAAAGGAGTCAGAAGCAAAGAAATCACTGCTTTCACTCTAGGAAGTGACAGAGTTTTGAAGTTGAATGATTGGTTATGTGTGCCTGATGTAGATGGTCTTAGGAAAACCATAATGGAGGAAGCTCACAGTTCGAGGCACTCTATCCACCCAGGTTCTATCAAAATGTACCTAGATTTGAAAGAGTTGTATTGGTGGAAAGGCATGAAGAAACAAGTAGCAGATCATGTGGCTAAATATTTAAATTGCCAGCAAGTCAAAGCCGAGCATCAGAGGCCTGGTGGCCTAGCTCAAGATATAGAGATACCACAGTGGAAGTGGGAGATGATTAATATGGATTTCGAAGTAGGTCTACCTCGCACGTACCGTAAACATGATTCAATTTGGGTTGTTGTTGACCGACTGACAAAGTCCGCGCATTTCCTACCAGTAAAGACGACAGATTTCGCAGAGCAGTATGCGCAGTTGTACATCAAAGAAATAGTTCGATTGCATGGTACTCAATCATATCTGACAGAGGCCCTCAGTTCACGGCGCATTTTTGGCAGGTATTTCAGAAAAGATTAGGTACCAAGGTCATTTTAAACACCGTTTTTCATCCACAGACCGATGGCCAGGCAGAAAGGACCATTTAGACACTCGAAGATATGTTGCGTGCGTGTGTTATAGATTTTGGAGGTAATTGGATGATCACTTGCCACTTATAGAATTTGCTTACAATAACAGCTATCAGGCCAGCATTGGTATGGCTCCTTATGAAGCGTTGTATGAGCGGAGATGTAGGTCTCCAGTGGGTTGGTTTGAACCAGTAGAGGTACCGTTGATTGGTCCAAAGTTTGTTTGTGAGGCCTTGGAGAAAATTCAGCTAATTAGAGAAAGACTTAAAGCGGCTCAGAGTCGTCAAAAGTCTTATTCTGACAAGAGGCATCATGAGTTAGCGTTCATGGTTGGTGATAAGGTGTTTTTGAAAGTTTCACCAATGAAAGGAGTTATGAGGTTTGATAAGAAAGGGAAACTTAATCCTAGATTTATCATACCTTATGAAATTCTAGAAAAGAAAGGAAACGTGGCTTATAAGCTAGCGCTACCCGTTGAGTTGTCCACTGTTCATCCTGTCTTTCATGTGTCTATGCTTAGAAAGTACATTCATGATGAGTCGCATATAATAACTGCAAATATCATAGAAATTAAAGAAGGCTTGACTTATGAAGAGGTACCTATAGAAATTCTCGATAGGCAAGTAAGAAAATTGAGAACAAAAGATTTAGCATCGGTAAAAGTTTTATGGAGTAATCATGATTCTAAAAAGGCTACATGGGAGGTCAAGAAAGATATGAGAAAGAAATATCCATATTTATTTGAGGAAAAGGTATGTGAACCTTAGTTTGGTTTGACATTTATACTTCATTTATTAAATACAAGTTAACAAGTGTTTATGTCCTTCCTAGATTATATTAGTTGTTGTAGTAATTTAGTTTATGCCGTAGTATATTTAATTCATTGAAGTAATTTACTTGTGCTAAAGTTGTTGTGCTTTAGATTCTTGTTAGTTATTATAGTACCTCCTTGCCGGAGTGTGAGTAATTAATTTATGAGCTGCGTATGGTACCTATGAATGACCTGTTATGGCATATCTGGTTGTTGTGGATGTAGTTGTGGTATTTGTGGCAGGGATATTTTTTTTTGGATAGTCCAATTTACAAGGTAAACTCTGCCGAAATTTTTGAAAATTTAGGGAGTTAGCCAAAATTTTGAGTCCCTTGAAAGAATGAGTAGTGCTAAGAAAACTTAAGAGATTCAAGGACCTAAGGGATGATTGTTAGCTTACGAATAAGGCCCTAGCAACATTCGAGTACGAATGTTTCTAAGGAGGGAAGATTGTAACACTCCTCTAATTTATATAAATTTCAAGGCTCGTTAAATATAGAATTTAATTTTTTTGTCTTCTTTATGGATTTAAACCCTTGTGATTGATTTTTGAGCTACTTCCCTATTTGTATAAATAGTTGGATATATAATTATGGGAATATTAATAGTTTAATATTTTTAATTATTAAAAGTGGGTATCATTAATTATTAATTAAGTAAAAAAAAACAAAAAACAAAAGAAAAATGGGAGGGACATTATTAAGCCCATAAAGGACTGTTGGAATAAAAAAAGGCTTAAGGCCTAAAAAGCCTAACCTTGGACGTAAGCAGCAGGAGTAAAAATTGCACAGGGAACAGAACGTTGTTCTGTTACGCAACAAACGCAGCAAAACACAAGCAACAAAAAAGAAAATTGTAGGGTTCTTTACAAACCACTAATTCTTGAATTCAGGTATATAAAATTCCCTATTGTTAATTATCCTACAGTGGTAATAGTAAGAATTGAATAGTTAGTTCCATTCTTTCTCTGTATTAATAATAAATTTCATGTTTAGGTGAGAAACTTTAAAATTGATTAAAATGCACTGGTTGTTGTAGAATCGATTGTTTGAATGGTGTCAATTGGACTGGGGTCTACGTATTTGCTCGAGAAGTTTTGAGGTGAGTTGATACAACCCTTTACTAAAGTGGTTTAACTCACAAAAGCACGCATACAAAGTGTTTGATGAATTGCTTAAAAGAGTTTATATTTACTTAATTGAAGCGAGTTAGTACCTATTAACTTAGAATTGTTCTAGCAAAAGTTTAGATGATTTATTATAGCAAAAGTTTAGATGATTTATTATGATATATGTGCATAAATTTTCAGATTTTTGTGTTATTCTTATATGCTATTTTCATGTTGAAAATTTATGAAGAAGCAAGAATCTTTAGGAATACTTTTACATGTTTATTTCATTCTTATGCCATGCTTTACATTTAAGGATACCAACATGAGCATGTACATGATGTTTTATAAAGAAAAGATTTAGACTTGAAAAGTCACAAGAAGATTTTTGGGAGTATCCTTTATTCTGAGAAGGGGTCATCGTCCAGGCCGAGGATCTTGACCAAGGCGTTGACTTCCTGAAACTACTTGTGCCAAAGTAGGGAGCACACGAGCCGAAGGCCTTGTTGCTGAGAATTTACTTAGCCATGCTAATGTATGATACATGAGCGTTGAGAACCATGAAGCGGGTGGCACCTCGTGGATTGAGCCTATTCGATCAGGTTGGGAAACTCGTGCCGATCACACGGTCACTGAGACAGAGTTAAGTCAGAATAGTTGAAACTCCCACAGTATAAAGTGAAGTATTTTTTTTATAAGAAAGAAAAAGAAAAGAATTTCTTTTAAAATATTCATAAACTGCTATTATGCAATTATTTAGAATTATTCTTATAATCTTTATGTTTTACATGCATTTAGAACCTTTGCTCGTAATGTATATGTTATTAAAGTTTCGGCCCCTGTTGTTGAGACTCACTGAATACAATGGATGGTACTGACGTTCTCTTTTGGGAACCTACATTGGTCTGCGGTACAACGCAAGAACCAAATTTGCAGGCGAACAGATTACGAGTTAGGACTTCCTTCTCTTCCAGTGCTATTGGTAAGCTCCGCCTTATTCAGAAAATGGATCGTGACATTTCTTCTGCCGCTTCTTTTTAACTTGGAAAAGCTTCACAATTTTTCACTTCAATAGAAAAAAAGAAATCTAAGTACTTGGAAAATGCAGGTTAATTTCTGTAGGACCAGATGAGGGCTATAGCATGATTAGAAAGTGACAAATGATTGAGTTTCTTTTCCCAAATTCCACGCCACATGTAATGTCACATGATGCACTCTCCCATTCATTTGTACTTACTAATTCTACTTCTTGACTATTGTCAATAATTCAACTACCACTATTTTTCAGTCTTTTACTCTTATCTTTCTCCTTTTTTCCAAGATCCTAGTTAAAAGATCACTATGGATTCTTTCAGAATATGGTTCAAGTCTTTGAATAACACTGCTGGCAAGTTTCTTGGACAATTTAAGTACTGGAAAAAAGGGAAAAAGAAACCAAAGAGAATGGTTTCTGATTTCAGTTGGTTATCAGGTTTTGCAGCTATGGAAATCTCTAGTCAACTTAAATTAGTCTTTAAATTCATAGATGCTAATGGAGATGGGAAGATATCTCCATTGGAGTTAACTGAAATTTTGTTGAGTCTTGGACATGAAGAATTGAAAGATGCTGAGGAATTAGCTGAAGTTATGGTAAAAGAAATGGATTGTGATGGGGATGGATTTGTGGATTTAGATGAGTTCATGAGTATTATGGGGGTGGAAAATGATCAAGTTTTTGGTGATTCTACTAAGGATTTCGATGAGCTTAAGGAAGCTTTTCTTGTATTTGATGCTGATAAAAATGGAGTTATATCAGCTAAAGAGTTGAGGAGAGTCCTAATTAGTCTTGGTTGTGTAAATTGTAGTGTTAAAGAGTGTCGTAGAATGATTAAAGGGGTTGATAAAGATGGTGATGGATTTGTAAATTTTGATGAGTTTAAAGAGATGATGGGTGCTGGTTGCAATCTTTAGTATAGTAAGCCCTTAATCTTTATCTTATTCTATTTTTGTATATTTGGGATTTGAAAGGGAGCTTAGCACAAGTTAAGAGTTGTCTCTGTGTGATTCAAGCTAGGGAAACAAAATGTAAGAGCGCATGTAATTAACCCAATATGGTTTGGCCCTTCCATGAACTTTGCCCGTACTGAGATTTTAGTGCATTAAGTGGTTCTTCCTTGTTATTGTCAGGGATTTCTTTGAAATTAGTGACAGTTAATTTTGTGGACTTTAGTACTTTGGTTGTTGGATTATGTACTGTTCAGAGTTTGAGCATTTTTCTGTATGGCCGGGCATACATCGGGTATAATCAAAAGTCCGATCCGAAAAATGTTTATTGGGGTATCGATATTGGATTATTGGGTTAACGATTCAGTAATAGTTTAGTATTTTTTACTATTGGGTTATCGATTCGGACCTCGATTTGCCCAATTTCTTAACGGGTTAGCCGATAACCCAATAAGATTTAATAAAATTATAATTTTACCTTTAAGTATATAAATACATCTAGGGCTTCATTCTCTCTTTCTCTCCCAATTTTTTACAGCCGCATTCAAGATTGAAGTTTCATAGTTCACTTTTCAGACTCTGATTCAATTCTTCATCAGTTCTTCTTCAAAATTCAATTTTTTGGCATAAAACAAAAAAAATTGTTATTTATGTCCCTGTTAACTGCTATTTCCAGTGAATTGGAGATGAAATATTTGTGAAGTTGTAGTATCAATTTTGGAGATTGCACAGGTCTTGAATTTGTCAAAATGAAGCATGCTTCAAATATTAATTGTGGCTACAACGCAAAAATGAGTAGTATATTATATGTGTATTTTTCTCTTTTTTTGCTTAACTCTAGATTAAGTTATATCTTATCAGGTAAATCGATAATCGAATCGATAATGATCGATAACCGATTAACCGATAACCGTTAATCGATATCTTATCGATTTATCATATTTATAAATCGAAACCAATATGTTAAACCGATAATATTCACAACCGACCAAACCGATGCCCACCCCTATTTTTCTATACAGGTTTTAGGTAGGATTTTCAATACTGTTCAGGCTTGTGGTTTTCTCATCATATTATTAAGCTTGACTCTTTCGTTGACTCCAACAATTTCAGAGATCAGAGTCAAGATCTGAAGATAAAGTATGTACGTACAAGTATACCTAATACAAACACAGCCATTTATTAGCTGCCTTGTCACGTGACACGTGTCAATTGTTATATCCTTTGAAATGATTAAAAAAATATCAAAATTGTTTACTCTTGTCGCAAGTTCTTGACCTAAATGGATTTCCTTTTTCTTTGTTTGGGTCTTTCAAATATCCAAAAAGAGAACATTTCACAATTTAAACTCTGTCAAATAGCATAAAATATTGGTACAAATTACACTAGGTAAATGCTTATTAGCATTTGGTGTTTATCAAATTAAGTATTTTAACATTAAGATTTAAAAGTTAATATTAAAATCATGTCACATAAATACGTGTATAAAAAATATATATCATGTATTCATTTATTTGGTGCAATCAGGTGCGATATCAAGAATGTTATTGCTTTTGTTTGGACGTTTCACAAATAGTGCAAGTTCCATTTTCACCAGTGACTCTTCAATTTCCTCTTCTTTTCCTCCTACTGGTTAACTTATTTATTTATAGCGGTCAGAAAATAAACGCAGACAAGATTACCTTGATCTGATTAAATAAGAGAAGAAGTCACTATTCTGTTTATCAGAAATGTGATTAAATCTGAAAAACTCCTATTTTCATCAAACGAAATGTTTATGATTGAGGCGAATTGTAGCGTTGGTTTTCAACTGAACCACATTTTTTTGACATGAGGAATAAATACGTATGTGAAAAGTTCTTAAAATGTTAACAAATGTATGAAAATTGGGATCATTACACAATTAGCTTCACCTAGCAGAGGAAGGCTTTTATGGGCCATTACTTGTTTATTTGGTTTTGGGCTGGATTCGTTCGTTAAGAATAACGTACTACTATTATTTCTTTTTTCTTTCTCTTTCTCTCTTTTTACTGCAACGTAATATTTGTTAGAACATTGGTTCAATTATCATTTTATTGAAAGATGATAGTGAAGGAAAATATGAAAGGAGATGAAATGATGATTTTGCAAACATTTCCCCAGTATTCATATCCTCTATACGTGCTGTTATTTTTCATATTAGAAGCTTCTATAATAGTCCATATAGGTAAGAGCCAACCAGGTTACGACTATCATCCTGGCTTGAACATAACGATTTGAGTTGTGGTTTCTAAATCACAGCTATTCCGGCGAGCAAATTAAGAAGAAAAAAAAAGGTAAAATTATCTAAGCGTGCATATTAGTTAGCTAAAGTTTGTTGTATAGTGTAGCTTGGCAAAATAGTCATGCCACAGCGGGGCAAGTGCACAGATAGTCATTCTCAAGGATGCTATTTAGAGATTAGCCAATACTTATTTTGTCATGAAATTTTAAAATAATATTTTTTTACTTTACGACAATTCAAAATACTTTTGTCCCAAAAATTTTAACTGAAAAACTAAAATTCAGGACGCAATGGCTAATTCCTAAAGGGATTGTTACACAAATAGCCTACCAGATTGCCACAACCCGGAATTTCTACCTTCGGGACCGTGATGGTGCTTAACATTTCACTTGCTAGGCAAGACAACGTTAGAGAGTTCACAAATCAACTTCAACAAATTTTGATAATAGAATTTAATTAAGCCAAACAGAAGCTAAACAGAGTTGCGGAATATTATATAACCCAAAGTAACTGAAACAATTAGGATCTGGAGTCACAACTCACGAGCTACTACAATTTATTACATACAAAGTCTGAAAGATAATACACTATTCTGGAAAAAAGAAACAGTAAAGTAACAAGTCTAGGAAGAGACTCCAGGGTCTGCGGATGCCAGCAGATCTACCTTAGTCTCCTATCGATCAAGTCCAACTGCTAAACTCGAGGTCAACTCAGTCCAGTATCAAAATCTGCACAGAAAGTGCAGAGTACAATATCAGTACAACCGACTCCATGTACTGGTAAGTGTCGAGCCTAACCTCGGCGAAACAGTGACGAGGCTAGGACAAGAAACATACATAAACATGTGCAGTCAAAAAATATAAGAGCACAATAACAGCTAATAGAAGCTAAACATATATAACGGGAGGGGAAACATGCTGAGAGGGATTACAAGATAAAGAATCACATCTGTAGAGAAATTTAAACAGCTAGTACACCTTGAACCAGTAACAACAAGTAAGTACAGTAACAAAAAAATGCATGACATCATCCTTCGTGCTTTTACTCTCAATCTCACCATATAAATCAAATAAGAATGGCACGACATCACCCTTCGTACTTTTACTCTCATCCTCACCATATAAATCAAATAAGAATGACACGACATCACCCTTCGTGCTTTTACTCTCATCCTCACCATATAAACCAAATAAGAATGACACGACATCACCCTTCGTGCTTTTACTCTCATCCTCACCATATAAACCAAATAAGAATGACACGACATCACCCTTCGTGCATTAACACTCTCCCTCACCAAAACAAAGAACAATAATAATATGGAGATAGAAATGATAACAACAAGTCTTACTTCAATAATTACTTCCACAATATCAGCTTCGACTCTGAGTCAATACTCAATTATTACCAAAATCCGTACATAAGATAAGAACAATCAACATAACAATAAACTAGTCTAAGCATGGATAATATGATCACGGAAAGCTAAACTTTTATGAATAAGACTCACTAGCATATTTATGACTCAACAACAACGCATAGGTACTCGTCACCTCACCTATACGTTGTACTCAACATTCAAACACGTAGCAAATAGGCAAATAAGACCTAATCCCTCAAGCCAAGGTTAACCACAATATTTACCTCGCTCCGCGGGCCACTCGATACTCAATTACCATTTTTCCTCTAGTATCCACATCCGAACCACTCGTATCTAGCCACAATTAACTCAATAACATTAATTATTACTAAAGGAATCAACTGCAATGCATGAATTTAGATTTCTCAAATCGACTCTGGGCCTGCTTGGTCAAAACCCGAGGTTCGTATCAAAATCTATTTACCCATTCAACCCCGAGCCCGGATATACATTTGATTTTGGAATCCGACTTCAAATCGAGGTCTAAATTCCACTTTGCAAAAATCCTCAATTCTTCCTAAATCCCTAGTTTTCTACCATGGAAGATCTAATGTTAGGGCTAGGAATTCAATGGGCGATGTTAGAAATGGAAGAAAATGAGTTAAAGAGTACAAACCTATGATTTGGTGTTGATTTCTCCCTTCAAAATCGCTCTTAGGTTGAGTTCTAATGAAAGAGTTTTGAAATTTTTGAGAAAATCCCGTTCTGGCCTGTTTTTAAATCACTGGCCAGGCCTTCTTCGCGTTCGCGAAGGCCCTGTCGTGATCGCGAAAGGCACCAGCCCAAAGGCCTACACGTTCGTGATGGTTTATCCTCCTTGGCCACCGCGCTCGCGATGAACAAACCCATCCCCGACCCAGCTTATACTTCGCGTTCGCGAGAGTAGCTTCGCGAACGCGAAGAAGGAAACTAGAAACACTCATGCAGCAAAACACACTAGATTTCAAAGTCTAAAACATCCCGTAGCCTATCCGAAACTCACCCGAGCCCTCGGGGCTCCAAACCAAACATGCACACAAGTCCTAAAATATCATACGAACTTGCTCGCGCGATCCAATCGCCAAAATAACACCTATAACTACGAATTTAGCACCAAATTGAATGAAATTTTCAAGAAAGTTTTAAAACCTCTATTTTCACAACTGGACGTCCGAATCACGTCAAACTAACTCCGTTCCTCACCAAATTTTACAGACAAGTTTTAAATATCATAATGAACCTGTACCGGGCTCCGAAACCAAAATACGGACCCGATACTAACAAGATCAAACATTAACCAAATTCTTAAAACTATTAGATTTTCAGTTTTTTAATTTCATCAAAAATTCATTTCTCGAGTTAGGGACCTCAGAATTTGATTCCGGGCATATGCCCAGGTCTCATATTTTGATACGGACCCACCGGAACTGTCAAAATACGAGTCCGGGTTCGTTTACTCAAAAATTGACCGAAGTCAACTAAATCAACTTTTAAAGACAAAAATTATTATTTTCATCAACTTTCAACATAAAAGCTTTCCGGAAACATGCCCGGATTG